CATCCTTGTTGTTAGGATGTAGCCATGTGACCTAAGTTCTCATCAATAGACTGTGAGAAGGAATGTGTGCTGCTTGGGGGTCTGGGATTTAAGAAATTGAGCATGCACCATTTGCATTCTTTTTCTGTTTCCAATCAACTGGAACCTGGCCATAGCAATGACCTAGCTTTGATCATAGAGATGTCAACCATGTCCCAGGGCAGTGGTTCTCAAAGTGTACTCTTGAGACCCCTAGGGACTACTGCGACCCCTTCAGGTAAGCTACAGGTCAGAACTATTTTTATATTAACACTAAGAAATTACGTGTCTTTTTCAATCTCATTCTCTTTCAAATGTACAATGGAGTTTTCCAGTGGTTACATGAAGTGTAATATCACAGCAGCTGGAATGCAAAAGCAGACATAAGAATCCAGCTCTCTTCTATTAAGCTAGAAATTAAAAAGAGTTGCAAAAATGTAGAGCAATGTCCTTCTTATCACTATTTTTGTTGTTTTCGAAAATATGGTTGCTTTTCATAAGAATGCATTATTTATATTAACTTGTATAGATTTATTGCAATTTTAAGATGACAATAAATATTTTTAAATTTCTTATATGGTAAATATAAAAAGATATATTTACCAAGTAAACGAAAGCTTTTTGAGGTCTTTAACATTTTCTAAAAGTGTAAAAAGATCCCATGACCAAAAAATTTGAGAACCGTTGCCCTAGGGGTTGGAAGAACAATGACAGAAAGAACCCTCAGTATCCCTAAATGAATGTGACCACTGAAGCTGCCCTGCTCTCGTCCTCAGCGAGGCTGTTATATACAAGAGAAATAAGTTTCTGTGTTAGGACACGACATCATTTTGTCTTTCATTATAGCATCTTGTATTTACTCTAAACAACATAGACAATAGTCATATCAGTGAGACAGTACTATATGAAAAACTAAAATAGGTGGCATTGCTTTGTGTGGGTAGTAAGAGCACAGGTATTTCAGGTTTGAATGTTGATGACTCTTATTATGCCACTGCAAAATATCTGTCACAACTATTACTTGTGATAACTTGGAAGGAGCCCACGGCTAGAGAAGAAATGGCTAGAAAGAGCTAGAATTTTGGTATATGTTGACTGTTTCGTGTTGTATTTAGCAACATATTATAAGCCATAGATAAACTCAAAAAATAACTGACCAATTCACAAGCAGATAAAGATAAAAGAAAGTTGGAAAAAGTCAACTGCTTCTATCTCTCCAAACAGCAGAAGACAAGGCTATTATTGCTCGAAGGCCTCCCATTAATCCCCTTCTACATCCAAAAAAAAAAAAAAGTCTGGCCCTGAGGCAAAACATAGACTATGGATGTTGTCCTCCTACTCAAGCCTGTTGTTTTATATGGCCTCAAGGGCACTGCCATGAAAATGATAAAACAAAGAAATGAAGTAGTTTAATGCTACATCCAGAAGAGAACTTTGGGTGTAGTTACAGGCATATGAAACTAACAGGAAGCAAAAAGAGAAGAAGTCTACCAAATTTTTGAGGAAATGGTTTTACCAAAACAACCAAAAGCTTATAGTTTTTTCAAACTTTAAATATCTCTTGAGAAGGGCATAGTTACCAACACACCACTTGGATGTGGCTATGCAGGACAACGGTCAACAGGAAGGACTTCTCCCAGGGCCAGGGGCCTCAGGAGAGAACAGACGAAGAGTAGAACCAAGAGGTGCCGATGGGCTAGCTAGCCCAGGAAATCACTCCACTGCCAGGGCAAGGACCCTTTGCCATCATAGAATCTGATATTTGCTATGGTTCAGTGACTACTCAACCATATTGCCAAACTTCCCTTTCTTGAATAGGCGCCTTTATTTCACTTCTCCTGGTCTTGCTCTTTACTGTTTATTGGTGGCAAGGAGGGCGGGCAATCTGATGTTTAGTTTATAGGTGGCTGAGTATGAGGAGTTAAACTTGGACCTAATAGAGAAAACTATATCAAGTAGAGATTCTTGACTTTTGAACTAGATGATGGGATTCTGAGTTGTTTTCTTTGGCAAGTGAACAAATACATTCTATGAGTGGGAAGAAGAAAACATGCTGACATTTGGATGGCTGCAGGGGCAAACTGTGGTAGAAGCTGCTAGCTAGTTCTCCTGTCCTTCCATAGTAATAGAACTGAAGCCGGGGACCTGGCTGCCCAGCTGGACTATATTCCCAGCCTGCCTCACAATTACAACATGACTAAATTCTCAACAATGCCATGTGAACAGAAGAGATGGATGCCACTTCCACATCTGGAACTTCAGACCTAACATTCTCTTCTTCTTACGTGCCAGCTGGAACCCATATGTGGTAGTAACCCTGCTTTGACCACACAGATGATAACAGATGATCCTAAGAGATGGCAGAAAAACAACTTGGAAGGAACCTTGATCCCGAAACGACTTCCAGGAGAAAAGCTGCCCAGTGAATCTGTACTGTTCACAATGATTCTATTACCTAAAAGAAAAAATATGCTTCTTTGTCTTACAAGCCACTTAAGCGTTAGGTCTTTTAATTACACTGGTCTTACCATCACTAGTATATGGCTGATGTCAGCAATCCCTCTCTTTTATACCCTGGAGCTGTGAGGAGGTCTTGGGGTGAATTTCTGTGTGTGTGTGTGTGTGTGTGTGTGTGGGTGTGTGCGTGTCTGTGTCTGTGTGTGTCTGTGTGTGTCTGTGTGCGCCTAGTTGGTGCTAGAGGCTTGGAGAATTGGTGTGAGAAATCCCTACACATTTGGTGTCAGAAATAATTCCAGAAAAAAAGATACCACAGGAGCTTAATAGTACATAAGGTGTGGAGTAATCGGGGCTGAACTTAACACTTTGCTTTTCATAAACACTTCAGCTTTGCCTCTGCACCTTCTGAACTCCTGCAAGGTCAGCAGTGGTGCCATCGATCTCAGATACCACTGTACTGCCCACAGTGGCCAAGAATCCCTAGGCTGCCACAATGTCAAACAAAAAAGGGGTTGTTAAAATGGGCTTTTCCAAACTCAGACTGTGGTTGAGAATAGCACATGCAGTGACTGCACATTCTAAGAGAGATATCATACCACCTTATAGAACTTGCTAAGAGGTACCCCCAAACCAGTATTGTAACTCTTGGCCCATCATCTGTGTCCAGGCTCTATAAGAGAAGGGGGAGATTGATGGGGTATCCAGAGAGAGTTCTGGAGTTATTTGCTTCCTGCCCCTTCTCCCCTACCAGCCCATTGCAAGCCACATGAGGAAGAATTTCAATATTCTGAGACATCACTTTAGGTTTCTCAGCCTGAACCAGGCACAATCTGAGGAAAGCAGAGATATATTAAGTTGAATGAGAAATTAAAGTTTTGATTTAGATTAAACAAGAATCAAAGAGCTTTTTCTGCTTGTGCCCACCAAGTGCATTCATTCAATATGTATGGTGGACCAGGTTTGGGTGAAAATGCCTGCCTGCCTGGGTGTCATGCTTCCACCAATAGCCAAGAATCTTATGGAATGGCTGCCATAGCACCCATTTTTAATAGCAATATTATGTGGCAGTAATAGCAACAACAAAAAAATTGATTTTTCTAGTTTTTCCTCTCCTCAATGCCAGAACAATTAGAACTAAGCCTTTAAACTCAGTAAGCACCGGAAGTTCTGGATGAGCTGTAGGAGGGGGAAACCTGTGGAGGAAAGAAAGACTTTGCAGCACAATAGGTGTCCCAATACAGTTAATTTGAATATTCAAAGAGAGGCTTTATGAAGCTATCTTCTGGCCTTTAACTGCCTAACTCTAGATAGACTTCTTTTATATCAGACATAAACTTACATCATATTTGACTTAAGCCTCTTCGATATAATATTTGTAATACATTAAAAAGTTCCTTAAATAAGTGAAAAAAAGATGTTTGTAGAAATATGGGCAAAAGAAAGCAGGCACTTTACACAAGGAAAAAATACAGATGGTCAATAAGCATCTGAAAATATACTTAACCTTAGCAGTAACTCAAGAAATGTAAATCTGAAAAATGAAATACTGTTTTTGAGTATTAGGTTGGCAAAAATATGAGTTGTATCTGGTTGAAAAGAGTCTGGAGAAATAGACTCATATAATGTTGATGGGTCTATACTTGGAAAAGTCTTTTTGGAGGACAGTTTGGAAATAGCTATGAAGATTAAAAATTCATTTGTATATGAGCAAGTGCACATGTGCACACGTGGGTGTGTGTGTAAGTGCATCGACTCATATTGACGCGTTTGCCCATTTAATGTACAGGAAAAAGGCCGGAAGGATATATAACAAGCTTAATAATATTTCTTTCAGGACAGAAGGGGTAGTAGAATGGAAGGAAGGTATTAAAAAACTTTCACTTTTTGCACCAGAACTTAAAAATTTTATAAGCATATATTATTTTTGTAATTAAAAATTTTTAATGAAAATCAATTACTCTAGCTTTTCGAAGATTAAATAGATATACAAGATGCTTTAATAGATTTATTTCTCTTTAAAATAGATGTGTTGGAGGCTGAGCAGGCACAGTCTACTCAAATTTGAGTAAATTTTGGTAACCTGAACCTTGCTTTGTATAGGTAGGTAGTTTGGTATTTCACAGACTGATAAAGAGGGCTTCCTTAATTAATAACAAGTAAGTACAGCTGATGTTTTATATCCCTGGGCAGTACTGAATAAGGCTTGTTTTTAGTAATTAAAGATTAAAAATACGATCTTAGAGCAAGTATTCTGAAATAAAGTTTACAGAGACTAGCATTTTTAATAAAAATAATTATTTCTACTATTAGTTTTTATCTTTTCTTTTTGGCAGAGAATGTCTTCAATTTTTAAGCATGTGTGCCAAGGAAACAACCTTCTGCCAACTCATATTGATGCACTTGCCCATTTTCAGGCCAGAATTCATTCCAAATAAGAGACTCTTCCAAGAAATATATATATATTTTTAATCTCAAGGTTTTTAAGTAAAAAGTAGGTCATTTAAAATAAAAGAAGACATTCTTACTTGGTCCTCAAAAGATAGAGCCTGGGCAACATCTCTTGGAAATCCATCAATAACAATGCCTTCTTCATCAGGTATTTGCATCAATTTCTGTTTTATCTCTGTAATTGTTGTTTCCTTTTATAAAGAAAAAAGGATAAAAAAACCACAGTTAAACTTGGTATACTCACAAATGGTATAACAACTGCAGAATAAAAACAAATTATACAGCAGTACCTGTGGGGCCAATTCTCCAGTTGTAATTATTTTGGCAATAAGACTCCATTTCCTATTGCTGCTAGTACTGTGGATCTTCTTTCTTAATAATTCTCCCACTGAAATGTATTGGAATCCGTACCGTTCTGCGATTTTCAAACTTTGAGTACCCTTTCCACTTCCTGGACCACCTATAATTTAAAAAAGGCAAAATTGTGACCTTCTGATACAATAAGAAACTCTCTTTTATACAACTACTAACTTCATCTTGAGATGCAGATTCTAGACCAACAGTACCAGGACAGGTAACTGTTCCACTGTGGCGTTCCCACTCCCATTCCTGAATGCAGAGCAAGTGTAGACTAACAAAGGAAAGGAAAGAATTATCGTGATCAACTGCATTAGATGAAAGAGGCATTGTTTTCCTCTACCTATTGTAGTAAATAACTAATTTAAAAATTTTCAACAATGTAGTTGAAAGAAACCTTTACTATTTTCTATCTAAATGCACATAGTTTTTCCTTCTGCAGTCAAAGGAAAATCTATGGAATAAAAAAGACAATGATTGAAATAACAGATATGTGTTTCATGTTAACAAAGAGTTAATGTGCAGTATGGTAAAATGTAACAATTATTTTTAAACCAAAAGAACACCAGTATCGACACAGCTTATATAAGTCTTTTTTGGAACTCTTTCTGTTCATGCATGTCCTTGCATTTTCTCCTTTAACTTCAAAAGTAGTTTTACGCAATAAACATGCAGAGTGAATGGAATAGATCCTTATGGTAAAACAATTTCACAGAACTCATGATAATTTTGATTTTATGATACATTAATGTGAAATAATTAAAATTTTGCAACATAACTACTAATCATCGGTAATTGCTATTTATTTTTTAAAAGCATAAGTACTCAGATTTTATTTCCAAATCATATTAAATTATTTTAGTTAATTTATAAATAGCCTAGATGAATTGGAATTCAAAGTCTGAACAAATTTCAAAACAAAGCACACAGTCGTCAGCCCAGTCTGATTTGTTACTTGCTGGCAATTATCAAAATGAAATGTTTTCAAATACCTAAGCATAAATTATTGACTGTAGACAAAATATTTTTAGAAGCCAATGTCTAATAAGTAATGAAATGCTTTGGAAATATTGATTAAAATATAATTATTATTTATTAAATAATATTGAAAATAATAATTCCATAGAAAAGTGAGTTGATGGTCTCCCTACTAATTCAATATATCAAGATACTAATTAAATATATCAAACTTATTATTTTATATATAATTATTTAGTAAATATTTTTCATTCTTGTTGCAAAACATACAAGTAAAAAATAAAGACAGATGTTTTGTTTTGTTTTGTTTTTGTCTGGGTAGACTTGGTTGGCCTGGGCTTATTTCCTCATTAAAAAATTTAATGTGCAGAATTCTAAGATCAACTAATATAATGAGAACCATTTCTTAACCCCAATCCCAAATAATGTGCCTGATAATATCTGGCTTTCACATTTTTATTACTTTATTAAATCCAGAGTAGGAATTTATTTCCATTCTTAATTATTCTAAGAAAATTTAAATCTTATCCTATTAGATTTAACATTAATAATTACTACCAGATTAAATTTACTTTGCCAATCAGAAGTTAGTTTTAGCACTAAATAGCTGTTTTTGGCCTACTAATCTATGGGCGAATCATGGATTGGCTTGGAAAAAAAAATTACACAACAACTCCATTAACAAATTCTAACAGCTCTGATCCCTAAAGAATGAAAGTTATTTTTCATTAACTATATTTCCACACTTGATCTCACAAAGCATCAAACTAAAAGACTATAAATTCTACTGAATTAAAAAAATATTTAAATACACTAACAAAGTTATAGCACTTTCACGGAAAAAAACTGATTTTTGTCAAATAATAGAGGCAAGAGCAGACAATGAAAAATATGATTAGCACAATTGACAAAAAATAGCATTAATTTATTGGATGAGTTTGATTACTGAAACTTAACAAATTAATTTTACTTTCTTCTTTCTAAAACCAAAGTGAGCTTAATGTTGTTCTATTTATTTATCTCCTATACTTACGAATAATAGAATCCATCTAACTCTTAGATGTTATGATTACAGTAACATAAGAAAGATTCATATCTGTGCCAAAAAGTTCAGCTTAAAAAATTTTTTTGAATCGTCAGAAGGGAATATCTGTGGATATCTGTACTTCCCCCACCTGTTTTCCAGGTTGGAATTAATAAAATTTTGTAAGGCTCAGGTATAATTCTCTTATAAATCCTCAAAAGTCATAAAATTGCCCCCAATTTTCTCAGATAACCTAAGGATTGGCTTTTCTTTTCTTCTGTTATCTCAGTCCTCTAAAAGTTATTTACACTCATTGGTTCTGCATCATTCTTGCAATATATAAAATGTTACAATACAGCATGAAAATCTAAAACAAAAATCACACTCTTGGGAAGCAACCTGATTTTACTGAGTAAAAGAAAACTGTGAAGTGGAAAAGATTTGAGCATTTATAACTTCTCTAAAGATCTGTTTATTGAAATATTTTAATCATTTCATATGCACAAAAAAATCACATATTTGTTATTTTACTCAAGAGCAATTTGGTACCACACTTTTTTCATGATCAAGCAAGTCTCCTTCATCTTGTTAATAATTACCAATATTTTACTAATAGCAAAGAGAAAAACAAAATTGAAAGAATATTTCATTATAGAATGGTGAAATAATTTCCAATTATTCTTTACCTGTAGCTCTTTTAATAAGGCATTTCTTTAAAAATTTTTAAGCACATGCAAAAAAACCCATTTTCAAGAATAGGTAGAGATTTATGACATAAGAGTGACTACCATACACCATAAGAATATTTGGACTTTTGGAAAGTCGATTTCTATATTCTCTTCCTATTTTATTATTTTAAACAATTCAAGGCTAAGTATATCTGGAATTTCATTTTCATTGTAATTAGAGATAAATGTCACTCCTTCTAGCCTGATGAACTTAATTTCTTGTTATAGCTTGCTGTGTTTATTTGTATGCTTTCTTCCTAGTTGCTATAATTTCCTAGTTGTCATTATATCTTCTGGGATCAATGCTTCTTTGCATGAAGGCTATATACATTTTGCTCTCTGTTAAGTTACTAGATAGAATAGCTTTGAACATTTCACTTTAGCTTTTTGCTTTTGGGCATCTCTATGAAAGCTGAGTCAAACTGGAAAGTGAGACAATGACTACATATGCTGCATGTTCACAAGACTCTTCATGATTTTTTAAGGAAGTTAGAATTTGCGAGAATGGTTGAAAATGCATTCTGGAAAAAATACTTAAAACATTTTCAACCTCTATTCCTTATGTAATGTCATCAAACTGATATTTCCATATTCAATATAAGGTTCATAGAGGCAAAATAAAAAATTAACTATTATCATTATTATTTCGATTAATACTCAGATATTATATGCTGTGTAAAACACTATCAGATTTGCTTGACTAATAACACTGAAACATATATTTTATTGTAGTTTCCAGTTTGCCATAAGGAATATTCATTTATGAGTCTTTACTGACATATTATTATTATTTTTCCTCTAAAGTTAATAGTGAATAAAAATTCAATTTGTTGAGTTAAAGAGATACAAAACACATCATGTCTAGAAAACTTCTAATGCATTCAGTTAAAAATTAAACAGACAAAACCACAGGACAACAAATCTTGAGATTAGCACTAACTTTCAATTCATTATAGAGAATTTCTATGACATTGTAATAGCATTCTATAAAAGAGCAATAGGCATTAGGTTATATAACAGTTTCTGTTTTATTGAAAATTATGCTAAAAATGTTCCCATTTACTGTCTCTTGAGCCTTTCTTTCTATTGTTTGTCATTTTTTAAATCAAACTAAGTATTTGCAAATAAGATACATAATTGATATAATTTTTGAAATGAAAATATATAAATGAAATTAGCGATAGTATGAGAATTTTACTTTCTGTCCTCATACCTATGACAAGAATGATTTTTGGTCGAGGTCTAGCAGGATCAAAAACTTCATATTCTTCAATTAACTCTGCAGTCTCGGAGAGATCTGTATCACTTTCTATGGAGAATTGATGGATTGGAGGGAGCCGATCATACCGCCGATATGGAAAGTTTGAATTTTCAGGCATTACTGCAAAAGAGTAAGATAACTTTGAAACGGAAAAAAATAGTATAAAAAACATTTTTGGCACTTAACCAATTAGTAGGAGAAATTTAAAAATTAAATGAGTTTGATTTTTTTCCAACTAGAAGAACACCACATCCTCTAAGTGGTCAGCAAACTTTTTCTTAAAGGATCAGACAGTCAATATTTTGGGCTTTGAGGGTCATACAGTTTCATATTCAACTTGGCTACGATCAATCGCAGGAAAGTAGTCATAGATAATAAACAAATGGATGTTCTCGTGTTCCAATAAAACTTTATTTATAAAAACGGTAGTGAGCCAGACTTGGTCCATGGGTCATAGTTTGCCAACCCCTGCTCCAGAGGAACTTCTTTTGGAGAGACTACTGCCTAGTTTTGCTTGGTCATTTGTATATAACCTGGACTATGCAAATAGTGCTCCCTAGAATTGTGTAGTGCAAGACCACCATGACTTTCACAACCATTTGCAGCTAGCTGCCATAGAGCCAATGCTTATGCACAATGTATTTCATTTATTTAATAAATATAGATACACATTCACTACGATCCAGACACTCTACTGTACTTCAGTCGAATGACTTGGTGGCATAATGCACAAAAACTTAGGATAATCTTATAAGACAGGTAAAAGAGTAGCAAACAATTTCTATGTTTGGAATATCTTTCAACATCATTGAATTTTACTTTCCCAATATTTATCTTTAACTTCTTTATTTCAAAATGTAACTATGAATATTTAGGTTTACATCTACAATGGCAACAAATATTTGCCATATATTGCCAGACATGTTAGCACGTGAAGCATGATTCAGTAGAATAAGATGCAGTCCTGCCCCCACAGGGCTTACAAACGAGATTACATGCTTGTATCTCACAGCAGTATGCACGCCAGCAGGATAAGTGCTAAATGAATATCTCTTATGGTAAACACGGCAGTTCAATTAATGGGTAGATCCATTTGCGTTGGAGTGGTTAGGAAAGGACTTGAAAAAGAGGCATGACCTAAAGTTTGAAAGACAAGTACAGGTGATAAAATGTGGAACGTGTATCCCAGTTGGTGGAAACAAAACACAAAGACTCAGAGTCAGAAATGAAAATGAAATTTTCAAAAGCCCAAATGAGGCAGATAGTCTCAACTAGTTATTGATATATAATCATGGCTTCTTCCTTTCCAATCCGTGTGTCAGTATTCCAGGAGGCATAGAGAAATCCTAACTACCCCAAAGGCACCTGCACAAAGGAGACAGGGGGTGACCTGGCCTTCCATGAGAAATTCAGAAAAGGGGACCACTGAATTTTAGTGTGGTGTAATGCTTACATCTCCTCTGGGATGACAATTGGGTAGAAATTTCCATTCTCTGTTGATAGAACAAATGAGGTCATCGGCTACTGACTCACTGGACTCACTTTAGTTCCACAAAAGGAGTGGAGTAGTCTGCAGATGACAATGGACATTCTTTAGAAAATTCTGGGAAGGGCTGTGTCAAGGAAGGCACTGACAGGAGTATCCTGTTCTGCCTTGAAATTAAATTACTTCATCCAACATAGGGCAAAACTAGGCATTATCCCTGATTACTTTCTTCCCTCACTCTTCACATCTACTCCAACAGATTTTAGTTCCAAAACGTATCCTGAATTCATATGCTTTTAGCCATCTCCATTAGCACAACTCCTGCCCAAGCCACCATCGTATATTTACCCGTACTATTATAATAGACGCTTGCAGGTCTGCCTGCTTCCACGCTTGTCTCCACAATCCATTGCCTAAAATGCTCTTCCTGTACTAGTCCCATGGCTGACTGCTTCTTGTCATTCACACCACAGCTTAAATGTCACCTCCTATAAGAGGATTTTACCGACTTTTTAATCTAAAGCCACCCAGTTAATTTCAAGAACATCATTCTAACAATGCTCTGCAAAACACCTACCCCTTCACCATCTGAAAGGTCTCTTATTCATTCATTGTTTGTCTTCTCCTATTAGAATGTTAAGTTCCATGACAGCAGGGACCTTACCTATCTGGAACCCTGTATCCTTAGGATCTAGGGCTGTTGCTTGGTATGTAGTCAGTGTCCAATAAATATTTATTGAATTAACAATATAAAGAACAGCCTTGCTGAAATAGATGGTTTCTCATGGAGAAAAGCCAGAAGATGGGTAAGTAGAATGTGGCTACAGTGTGGAGGGCCTTTAATACCAGGGGAAAGGTATTTAGCTTTAACCTGGTAGAAAGCCAGTGGAGGTTTTTTGGGGGTTAGAATGGATTTGAGTAGAAAGAGACTAGGAGCTGAAATAGTAGCAACTAGGAGGCTATTAAAGTAATCCATAGGTGAGAAGTACAAGCTGAGGTTAGAGGGGTAGTAGGGGAAATGGAAATGAATGGCTGGGTATAAAGCACATGGTTAGAATTGGGACATGAAAAATGAAAGGAGATGACAGTTCTAAAAACAATTGCAACGTTTCAAGTCTAAAAGAATAAGAAACATTGCATTTCATGTAATATCTTTCTGCTCTCTTGTTTTATTGCCTGTTTTAATTTTTATTTTTCAATTAGCATTGACATATGTTTTTTATATTGGTTTCAGGTGTATGCCTTCTCTTTTCTGTTTCAGAAATATTGGGCTTCTCCCATTCCTGTCTATATCACAGCTTCTTCTCTATGTCAGGAACTTCTGTTCTCTGTTCCCTGGTATACTCTCCATCTCATCCATCCTTCTCTAGCTAACACCTACTTGGTTTTCTGTCTCCGAGTATTAGCATATCACTTCTTCCAGGAAGTCTACCCTGAATTACAGCATAGGTTGGATCCATCCTCCTGTTAATATGGTTAGTTCTATGACATATGGCATTTCCTATAGCACCCATTGTGCTTCTAGTTATATTTTTAATGCCTGTTTCATTGCTAGACTGTAAAGCTCCATGGGGGCAGGTGCGAATTTGTTCTTTCTTGGTGGCTACATGCTCAGTCTTAAAACAGTGTCTGGCACATAGTACTCAATAAATAGTTGTTTTATTGTTCAACTGTCTCATTGACTGACTTCATGGAAATAGAAAAAAGAGAAGGGAGTGCTGGTTTTGAAGTAAATATGGTATGTTGTTATGTTTGGTGTTAGATATAATGAGTATAAGATGACAATGAGATATTCCAGAAGAGACGCTCTATAGATAGTTAAAGCTGTGAAACTAGAAATTCATTCAACTAATTTTTTGTTCAGTTGTATAGATATGGCAAAAAAAAAATGCTCATGTCACATTTATAGTAGGATGCTTTAAAGAACTGTCAGTCAATAATTTATCCTTTCTTTTATCATATTTTTACTTAGGAAAATAATTTGCTTAATTTATTAAAATGTTTTATTTCATTGAATAATTTTTCATATTTACATATTAGCATAGTTATGTCTATATTTTGGCAAAAATGCATGAGTCACTTTATATTCCTAGAAATAACTATAATGCTTTAAGTTACTGTAAAATTAGCAATTTTGTTAAATTTAAAGCCTATTACATAAATTAAAGCTAAAACTTACAAAGAACAAATATGTGAAGTATTTCATAAAATCAAATTTTATTATTATAAAACAAATCATTTTCTGCCTTTTAGCATATGTTCTAGATAAAGGACAGTGTCATACAACATTCTTGTCACCACAGTACATGGAAAGGTTCTATATGATGACTAATTAAAAGATCCGAGTAGGAATTCTAGTGAAATATTAATAAGTATGGAGACTAAAATTAAGAAGCAATTTTAATTTTAATAAAGGTTAAACCTACCTTTTCCTAGACCCTTTGGATGTGTTTCGTTCAGCTCTATATTTTTCCCAAATGTGTACTTGACTGCCTTTATACAATAACTGTTCTCTCTAGATCTGCTCTCTAGTTTGACCACACTCCCCACCATTCTCTCTTATACACTGGCCTGACTGGGTTCTATGTGTAACCAAGCCAAGTAACAATATAAAATAGAGACAGATTCATTTTGTTGCAAAAGTGTCACTTTATATATCCGGTCTATGAGCAGCTTTTTGACTAAGTGCATATCATACCTCTTAGATTTAAATTTAAAATGTAAAAATATCTTAGACTAAGTCCAGTAATACCTGAGGTTTGTTAGTGCTTTAAGGTTTCGAAAGCAGTTACCCATATTTGCCTCACTTGATTTAACAAGAGTGTAGGGCGTATAGTTAATATTGAGCCAGATTCTAACGGTATGACAACACCCTGGGAAATAAGCCATTTTGGAAGGTGTACGAACTCTTCAAACCCATGAAAAACATCATTTTGTTCACCAAAGCAGTAATTTATCTAGTGGCATGCTGCAGCAGTAACTGGCTAAAGGTGCTCTCTTGAGCATCCAAACCTAAATCACCCAGTGATGATTCCTGCGTGGACAGGGAAGGATTCTTCTCTCTGGAGATGTTTCTGAGCAAATGTTGTTTATATTTTCCCTCTCTGCCTGCGTTTCTTAAAAATTAACACATTCGACTTTTGCCCACACTGCATTCAAATAAAATCTAAGTGGGTCATGACTAAGTAAAATAAAACAAACAGATTTATTTCCCCTTTTATTTATTGCAAATAGAATGACCTCTACTTCAAATTCTGTCTGTATAGCCAAAAATTTTCATGGTATGATTTTTGAGAATGGTTTAAATTTGGAAAATATAATGATCTTGGCTACTGAGAAGGAATTAATTTAGTTTCCCTTGATTGGAACTGATTCTATTTTGCACATACTATTATACTTCTCCATTTCATCCAGAGCCTAAAAGGCTGGTTGCCTGATGCCGAATCACTAATAAGCACATATTTTAGAAAGCTATCTGAATACCACAGATCTCTTCTAGCAAACTCCAGTTCTTAGTTTCATATTATTCCTAAAACTGTTAAAAAAGTTTATGGCTTCTATTTCTTTTACAGCAACCAAATACCTAATTTGATGTATCACATTCAATAGTATGTGCAAAATGGAATCAGTTCCAATGTAGTTGTTTAATAAATACTAGTTGCTTAATAAATACTTAATACTTGAATTAACTAGTGTAAACTTTACATTCATTAATGCAGATGCATTAATATGAACTCTGAATTTGGAAACATTTTAATAAGTCAATCTCTTCCGAGCTAGTGATAACTATCAATTTTGCATATCATCTCATTTATTTTGAAGTCTTATTTGAAATTTTAAGAATAATTTATAGTTTGCTAATGTAATCAATCTCATAAAATAATGAAGTCAGTAATATAAAACTTTATTAAGACTTTACAGTGAAGTGCTGGACAACGGTATGTAATTTTATTTGTCTTATCACAGAGGTGATTAGAATAAGTAGCAGAGAGAGATTAGCCATGTTCCAGGGCCAAATATCCTCCCAGGCATTTGGACACCTAATAAATTAAATTACCACGTACAGTCTATATGGTACATTTCAAAGAGAATTGCCGTAACTGTAAACTGTCTATTATTCTACATATACATTACCATTTCTTAGAAAAGATCTCCGTGACTGTCCTCCATTGAGCGGAGGTAAGGTCTTCTTTTCCTGGCTGACAAATGTATCCCATTTCACCTTGTCACAGCCACCTAATTCCTTTACTTTCTGTAAACAACTTTCCAAGTACTCTACTGGGTCTTCGGGCTTAGAACACATCAGTCCATTCAAAAGGCTCTGAAACAACAAAATACACCCACATAAAATATGTTTTAAAACCATATTTTGAACCATATAGGTAGTTTTTGTTCTTCACATTTATTTTAATAAACAGAGTTGAAATTATGATATGATTAATTAAAATAACCCCTTAAATTTTCTTGATTAGTTTTCAGCTCATCATTCTCTTTTTAAACAATTCAGGCAACTATAGAGCTTAAAATGGAAGAGCTCTATCGAAGGGAGATAAAGTACAGTGTGTAAAGATGCCCCAATCATTATTAATCACATTCCTATTTATCCTTAAAGTCTCCAAGCTTCAGTTTCTTCCTGTGTAAACCAGGAGTAATAATACCTACCTCAGAGGGCCATTTTAAGGACTTAAAAATTTAATATTTGTAAAATGCATATTAAGTGCCTGGCACATAGTAAGTGCTCAATAAATATTGTTGGTAGTTTCAGTTAATACTGTTATAATTATCAGACATCTCCCCTGAGCCCTTAGGTTGGCTTATGGGCCCCTTCTGTGTTCCCATGGTACCTAGAAAAAAAAATCTTACCTGTCATTTATACTGAAATCATCAGTTTATGTGTTGGTGCCCTCATACGAACTATAAATCTCTCAACAACATAGTGTGGGTCTTATTTATCTTTCAATCTCTAGTCCCTGACACTTTTTCTGGAACATAATAGGTGCACATTGAACAGTTTCTAATTAGGAAAAATATTTCACTCAAAACGTGAAATCTGAGACTCAAAAAAATGCTATTTTATATATAATAAGTCACCATAATATCCACTGAATTTACAGAGGGGGAAGAAGAGCATGAACCTGTATTACTTTTTCCGTTCCTGGTATCCGATGTATCACATGTACTAGTTTCTAAAATATACTACAAATTTGGAAATGCTGACTCCTGGGAACTGGACTGGTATACAAAGTATTTTCCTTTATAATATTTCATGGAAAAAGCATTGGGGATCATTATCACCAAAATACACTGTTGATGCACAAAACACACACCCTTTGAAAGGCTGACATCTTTCCTAAATACAGTGTTTTATTTTCAAATTATTCTTGTGCAATTTGCTCAAAATGGTAGGCAATTCTTACCAGGTACAACTGTTCTCCAAAATCCTAAATAGTGTGCATTAAGATGCTGAATCAGAGGTGTTCAATTGCAGAGGGAATGGAAAAAACTAACTTGGGGATCCACATGCAGTTTGTGTCAAAATCTGTGCTATACACACACAGACAGACAGACACACACACACACATACACACAGAGCGCTGAACTTCTCACATTCCTCTTATGTTAATATAACTAACTTTGTGTCAATACTTACTATGTCTTTGTATGCATTAGTTTACCCAGTGTGCTCTCAGCCCTATGTAGCATTATTATCCCCATCTTACAGGAAGTCATGGCTCAGAGATGTTAGTTGATGAAGGTTACTTAGCTAGAAACTCATAGGCCCAGGATTCCAACTCAATGTTTCTGATTTAAAAACCCATCTATTGTTCTTTCTCCATATCTTGCAAAAATATAATATAGGATAAAAAGAAAATGCCAGATTATCTGTGCCCCATACATAATCCAAAGCACTCAAGTTTAAATCTTTTTTATTTAAAATCATTACTGCCTAAAATGGGTAAACAAACTAAATGAAGTTTTTTTGTTTGTTTTTACTGGAAAATATACATTTCTAGCCTCTCCAAACAAAACTGACTCCTCAAAGGGTACTGGTTTTAGAAGGGGGCGGGGGGAGTGGGTTCCAATCCTTCATGGATAATTTAAGTCCTTTTTTCTAGTACCCAGTCATCATCACAGATTAAAGATAACCAGCAAACACTATTACTTGGTCTCTTTGAGTTAATTGTTTGAGAGCTTAAATAACTTAATTAGGCTTTCTCTAATACTTAAATTAATTGCTGAATCTCTGTTCTAAGGTACAGTGGTACAAATTCAGTATGTACACCAACCATAAAGTTAGCTCGAGTTAAAAACTCATGACAAAATAAGGGGAAAGTGGGTGTTTAAAAAACATTTAATTTAAAAATGGAAACACATTTCAAACTTGAACCGACCAGAGATATTCCATTTAGCCTATGTGATGTCTCAAGTCAGGAAGAAATCTGAAAAGGTCAGTTAGATACACATAGTTGTTTGACAATATATAAATTCAATAATCAGTCACTTAGTCTACAATGGTGTCTAATAGCCACAGCAAGGCCAATGTATTGGGTTTGATAGATACCTAATTTTTAAACTTCATATACCTAGAAACTTTATATATCTATATTGTGGTTTAGAGGAAGAAAATCCAATTTGGAAAGTTAAGCATTTGGCTTTGCTGTCTACACTCATCACATGGAGAAGTGCCAGGTTTTACTTCTCTCTTTGCCGTGCACAAGCACACATTCCACTTACTGGAAGGCCTTTGGAGGTCACCAGCAGTCTCCTTCCACCTTCCATTGTCCAGGATTGCATTTAAGTACTCTGCGTTACTGCATTTCTCCTAAGAGAGTTGGCTTCCTTTTCTGGCTGTGCACTATTTAAAAATGTCCCATTCATTCACAGAAAAACCAACAAGAGAAAAGCACAGCACCTGAACAATCACTTATTTGCATACGGTGTAGATTTTCATGAAGAAAATATCAAAACTATCTGTGGTTACCTTCCACCAAGGAGGAAAAAATGGTACCCACATTTATAAAGAAAAAAGACATAGTATTAAGCAGCACTTTACAATCAGGGGACTCCTCTACAGATGTTTCTACTTATTCTTTTAGAAGTGTAATAAAATTGATCTATTTATGACAAAACTTTCATCTCTTCATCTCCATTTTACTTTTTGGAAATTAAAAAAAAACTCTTAACGAGAACTCTACATACCCCCATGACCTTACACAACATCTGATTATTTTCAAGCACGAGTAACACACTTGCTATATTTTGGGCTTTACACACCAAGCTTGTGCTAAGTGGGTGGTTTACATGGAAATGTTGGCTTCAGATGGACTTAAAAATCAGTGGCTTATAGAGGTAAACAAAAAATGAAGATCTGTAATTATGGCGGCCCATTTTAAAGATAGTTCGGAAAAACGAGGACAAAATTTTTTTCCCAACTAGGGTCTTAATTTGTTGTTGTTGTTGTTTAGCAGAACAAAGCCCCCAAACAGGAGAAAGAACAGCTCATGACCTTTAATTTACTATATAAGTCCACAGTCTATCATCTTTCAGAAATGGGGACCAGGTTTGCAGTGAATGGATTTCCCCCTTTCAGGGTTCTGTCTATGGAGC